ACATTGCAAAAAAAAGCAATCAGAACATTAACAAGATCAGAAGATTCAACCAATCACAAGCCCCTTTTCATCCAACTCAATATAATGACATTAATCTCACTCTATATCTGCGAAACCATAATCCTTACCATCCGATCCAATCCCAACCTAAGACAATTGCAGCACAACCATAACACCAGAAGTAAAATAAACATAGACATGCCTCAACACAGACTTCAAAAAACAAACAACACACCCTCATACTCTGGATCAATGTTCTACAATCAATTACCCAAACACCTAAAATAAAACACACCCAATTTCGAAAAAAAAAATTAAAATTGTACCTAACTGTAAGCCTGTACGACTCAATAAAAGAATACATAGAGGAACACACATACACAAAACATAAAACATAAACACACGAAACCTGAACATAGAAAACCCTGAAAAAGGAAGAAAGTTGACGACTCCCCGATCAAACGATTGTGGTGAGGACACCGGAAGTAAGAAGTAAGTAAGTAAGAAGTAAGGGAATCATATTTTACACAACCTTTACATTTAGATAAAATGTGTTAAAAAAATATTTGTGGTTTTCTTGTGGGTTGCTTTTGAAATTTCTAATTTGCTTGATCCGAAAACGCCTAAACGCATTGCTAGAAAAAAATTTGTAAATCATTATATTCTACATTTATTACTGAAACAGAAAATATATAGGCCTACCTATATACAGGGTGATCAACTCAAGGAGGCCACCATTGGGATATCGGAAACGGTAAGAATTAGAGAAAACTTTAAATGGGGGACATTCCTTTATTTTTTGTGGCAATTAAAAATATGAATTTAGTATTTTTTTAAATTCAGCCGCCATTTTCCAACATGGAGGCCAACTTTGAAATTTCTTATGGAATACCCTATATTTGATCATGTTTTCGAATAGAACATGCAATTTAAAAACTTTTTTATTCTTGACATTTTTTTCATAAACTCGTTTAGGAGTTACAGCATAGATCTAAAGGCTGCGGTCTTGTGGATTGTCGGATGGATAGACTTGCTGTTGATTGTAGTGTCCGTTTGCGTAGGTTTCCTGTAGATGTCAAATTCTATCTTGCTCTCTTTTCTCTCTAATGTGAGGTCCAGGAAGTTGATCTTTTTGTTTTCTTCAAACTCGTTGGTAAAGGTGAGGTTCGGGTGGTAGCTGTTTAGTGTCTGCATCATCGTTTCGTGCTCTTGCTCCTGGGCTTGTCTGAAGATAACAAGAATGTCGTCTACATATCTAATGTACAGTTTTACATCATAATTCTTTCTTAAATTCTTTAACATTTCTTTTTCCTGATGCTGTAAAAATATTTCTGACAACATTGCCGAAAGTGGACTTCCCATAGCTAAACCATCTGTTTGTTCGTAAAATCTATTGTTAAATCTAAAATAATTTTGTTTCAAAACAGTCACAAGCAATTTTACAATCTGATTGACATATTCATCGTCTAAACTATTCTGTAAAAGCCTACATTTAACAAGATCTACAGTTTCAAATACAGGTATGTTGGTGTACAGATTTGCGATATCAAATGAGACTAGCCTACTACAGTATTCGAATCTATATCTATGTTCTTTACACGTTCAACAAATTCATAACTATTCTTTACATTGTATACATATTCTAATTCTAAATCATTGCTGAGCTTACTTGCTAACAATTTTGAAACATTGTAGGTAGGAGCACATTTAAAGTTAACTAAGGGTCTGATGGGTACATTCTTCTTGTGTATTTTTGGGATCCCTTTCATCACGGGTGCTTTAGAATTTAGTATGTTCATCTTCTGTCGACATTCTTCAGGAATCACTCTGGTGCATCTCTTCACAACGTCGGAAAGCTTTTTTTTGGCACCTCTGCGTTGGATCCTTTTTCAGCTCTTTGAAGTTATTTTCTTTGATGAAATCTTCCGTCTTCTTTACATATTCTTCTTTTCCGAGCACTACGATGGCGTTGCTTTTGTCTGCTTTCACAACAATTGAGCTATTCTCTTCCAGTTTCTTCTTTATTTCGTTGCACGTCTTCAGTTCTTCATTTCTGCTGGGATCTATGGGTCCTTGGCTGGTGAAATCGTTGGCTGTCACTTCCTTCCGAACGGCATAATGGTCTACGTCTCTGAGTGATTTTACATTTGCTTCAACTTCAGTAGCTAGTAGTTCGTTTTCTTCCTTCTTCTTCATTGCGAAATTGTACTTCATTCCGTAGTTCAGTATTTTCGTTTCTTCTTCACTGAGTTGAATGTCTGTAAGGTTGATGACTCTCTTCTGGAATTTGTGTTCTGTACTGGTCCTATCCAAGTCTTCATTAGGTGTATTCTTCTCTTCGAGTTTGTCTAATTTGTCGTTTATCCGTAAATATTTCCGGTCCATGGCGTCTTCAACCTCTTCACTGACGACTTTGTGTAGTAAATTCCATGCGATTAGTCCGTATAAGCTCAAAAATTGTAGGTGGATGTAGTAGGCAATCTGGTTCAGTTCTTCTTTTTCACAGTAAAGTTGTTTGATCATATTTTGGATGAATAATACCTCTCCTTGTTCCTTGGTTCTTTTAGCGGCAGTCAGCCCAGGATTAAAATGTACTATGGCGTAGCTATACAATTATAAATACTAGTGGTCGTCCAGTGGTCGAAAACTCGATCAAAAACATGTAATGTTCTTGTATTGACTATTGGATACTGAAGTAGACATCCCATCTATATGGACCAGCTGTCGCAATTTTTTTTAAAACCCATAGTTGTGTGAGCCAGTCAGGGACGTAACTAGGCTATTCAGCACCCGGGGCAAACACCTATTTTGGCGCCCCCCTCCTCAATTGGACTGAAACTAATTCCTTACAAATCTTCTTAGGGGTGTAGGCACATGACCCAGGCTGTAATCCTCTTAATCACGGTCGGTTGACCTGTCACTTCTAAGTTGGTGTCGAACGATTCCACATCATACCGTGCATTGCCGAATTGTTCGCGTCAAATTGTTAGCTCTATCACCGTCGATGTCAAAACGTATCGTTAGTAGGTTAAATCTAAATTTAATTTAACTGTCCTAACTTAACCAAACTTGCAGATTTTGAAAAATCGAATGAAGGTTTACTAATCAAAAAAATAGTTCTGTTCATAAAAAGAAATTACACATGCCTAAAATTAATTTTTTAAATTTTTTAATTATAAAATTAAATTATTATAACCTAACTAAACCAACCAAACTTGCTGATAATGAAAAAATCGAATAAAGGTTTAGTAATCAAAAAATAGTTCTGATAATAAAATTATCAATTCTAACAAAAGGTGTACAGTTAAGAAGTAATCGTATTCTAAGCGAAATCTTTGACAAAAAGTTAACGAATCCGGTGGGATTCAGAATTCTCGATTCCCCACCCCTCCTCCGTTGACCACTACCCTCATGCCATAAATCAGTGGATTAACCCAAACAAAGATCTGGGTCGTTGTCCGCCTCCCCTTAAAAAATGTGTGGTGTGTCCATCGGTACACAATACATTAATACTATTTAGATATTAAAATGCTTAACCTCAAGTTAAAAGTACTAAGGCCTAGATATATGTGGTAAATAATTGAATACAGTACGGTACATATTTTCAAGACAAATAGTTTATTTGAAAACAAAATCATTCACGAAAATAATATTACTAATAACACGCAAAGAAACAGCACCGCAACCACATTTCGTGTCCTGAACCACTGATTACGAGTAGAATGAAGTATTTTTATTTATTTATTACATGCACGGCAAACGCCATTTAGCAAGAGAGCTTAGTTGACATTGAGTATGAACTGTTGTCAACTACACTAGTGCATATTATACGTAGTTAGTCAAGGTCAGACGTGTTGTATATCGATGGGTCAGACCAGCGAGCGAGCGTCGATGTGTTAATGTTGTGTTTGTGGTATGTGTGTCTGTGTGTGTGTGTGTGTGGTGACTGGTGTGAGGGATGGTGAGCGAAGGGGTAGGTGGTTGCCGGGAGAGGGGTGGAAGTGTTCTGACGCCGCGCCGGCGCTGTCCTAGTCCCAGTGACTGTTCGACACAGACAACGCAGTATGCTCATCCTCATACTCGCATCCGTACAAGTTCATACAAGTTAACATGATTCGTAAACAGTATAATAACAGTCAGATAGCATTCATCATTTCACTTTGTACTTTCTTAGACTTATATAAAAATAAAAAATATATTGATTTTCTTTTGCAAGACGGATTAAAAATATTTTCAACAATTTTTGTTTGAAAAATTCTGTGCCCGTTTTGGCTCCCCCAACAACTGTCGCCCGGGGCTCATGCCCCACGTGCCCCCCCCTAGTTATGTTCCTGGAGCCAGTCGCCGAATGTGTGTCTTAAATTCTATTTTATACCTTATTTTTTGTTGCTGACAAAGTTTATGGTTCATAACAGTTGCTGTAGCTCATAATAAGTCATTCCATAAGTTTGACTTGGTAAAAAACATCGTTCAACAGAAATTAGTCATTTAGATCAGCGCAATGTGTTGGTGGCTCACATCAACTACGACGAATTTAATTTTAAAAAACTGGTGACAACTTTAACATGGGGATGGAATGTAAAGGTACAGGCTTCTCTATTTTCACCCCATACTGTAAATAAAACATGTGATTGTAATTTCTTCCATTTGTTTTGATTTTCTGTTTATATTTGGTTGTTATTTCGTTGCCAACATGGAAACCCATAAAACCCATGTTAATTATTTTTAAATTTCAAATCCATTTTTTGTGCTTATATTTGAGCCTATTTTAATTTAAAAAGGGATTCTGCACATCTACAGGAAATATCTTTCCAACGGTATGCGTCAATTTTCCCTGCGATGCACACGAGTTGAGAAAAAAGGTTGAGTAAAGAAACATGCTTGCCTATTAATATATAGATAGATAGATAGTAATTGTGAACCATTTTATTTTTAAAGTTCTTCGAAATCCCAAAATATTTAGGCAAACAAAACATCTTATTTCTTCTAACTTTACATAGGTATGCAGAGAAACGCTTGCGACTTATGAGACTCAAGAAAGAAAAAAGGGACATTGAACTAGAATGTGAAAAACTCCTTGAGTGGCGACTCCTCAAAATAAAACTTGTAAGTATAATCGTAGTTGTTGATCTACTTGAAGGCCTACCTATACTATGCTAGATTTACATATTTTTTATTGTACATATCTAATCTGTAGCCTATATATTTACTGCACGCCCTACCTTAGCGTATAGTACTGGCACCATACAACTTAACTAATGTAAACACGTTGGGACCAGTATTAAAGTGGGGTACGAGCCTGTTGGAGCCACAGTCTTGTGATTATGGTTTTAAAAGCACTGCGGCATCAGTTGAATTGGGCACGCTGGGACCGAGATCACTCGCTGACATCAAACAAGTGGCGGCTCTTTTCTCTTTATCTTACTTTTATTTGTTTCATAAATTGTACATTAAGTGGCAGTTCTGAATAATCCATTTTTCATTTCAACAATTTCTGGATTAATATTTTTAGTTTTCTTCGTACATTTATGACAATGAATTGGCTCTTCCATTTAGATATAAATGAATGTGTGTTATAAATGTCATAATTTTACTAATTTTACAATTATTGGAAATTGTGTAGGATGTAATTTATGTAAAAGAATTATTTTTGAGATAAAGATTAATAAACAAAAGAGTAAGAACAAACATTTTAAGAATAAACCAATAACCAAATCAGTAAGAATATTTTCTAACCAAAATCTTAAAAAATTCTCAAATATGCTGAGTCAGGAGGGTTGGGAGGAGGTCTACTTTGCACCAGTAGAGTTGAAATTTAACATTTTCAACAGTATTTTTATGTATTACTTTGATATGTGCTTTCCTATTACTAAATGTAGAGATACTGATCAAAAAGTCCCTTGGAATAATCATGAGCTAGAAACCGAGAGGAAAAAAATTATAGAAAAAAGCACATTAGGGAGGATAACAAAAAATTAATCTTAAGTGAATTCAGCTAAAGAAATGAACAAAGCATTAAAAAAAAATATTTTCAAAGCCAAACAAAGTTATATGGATGGACAAATTTTGAGATCAGGGAATGTGTCCAAGACAACTTGGAATTTAATTAATTTAAATATAAAAAACAAAAAAAAGGTTGTGAAGGGTGAGGTTCATTTGTCCGAGTTTTCAACTGTCCGAGTTTGTTAAAAATTACAAAAATTTGAAAAATCATTTGTCCGAGTTTTTAACTGTCCGAGTATGGTTTAAATAATAATAATATTTCGTTAAATCAACTGTCCGAGTTTTCATTTGTCCGAGTTTTTAAATTATTAAAAAAATATCAAAATATCATTTGTCCGAGTTTTCAACTGTCCGAGTAGGGGCAACATCAAAATGTGACAATGCGCGCCGAGACTAGCGTGTCTAAAGCGCCTGTCCAGAAGTCGATGTGAACCCCTTCTGTGAAGGAGTCGGGCATTGTGCGAGCCGCGAGAGGCCCTCACGTCGACTTAAGAAAAATTATATTATTTTTATTATAAGACTAATTTTACAATTTTTAATTATAAAATCAAACTGTCATCACCAAACACAACCAACCAAACTTGCTGATAATATAATAATGGCGGGGGTATTTTATATTATCAGCAAGTTTGGTTGGTTGTGTTAGGTGATGAGAGTTTAATTTTATAATTAATAATTGTAAAATTAGTCTTATATAAAAATAAAATAATTTTTCTTAATTCGACGTGACGGGCTCTCGCGGCTCGCACAATGCCTGACTCCTTCACAGAAGGGGTTCACATCGACTTCTGAACAGGCGCTTTAGACACGCTAGTCTCGGCGCGCAGTGTCACATTTTGATGTTGCCCCTACTCGGACAGTTGAAAACTTGGACAAATGATATTTTGATATTTTTTAAATAATTTAAAAACTCGGACAAATGAAAACTCGGACAGTTGATTTATCTAATTATTATTAGTTATTTATCAAAACTCGGACAGTTGAAAACTCGGACAAATGATTTTTCAAATATTTTGTAATTTTTAACAAACTCGGACAGTTGAAAACTCGGACAAATGATGTGATCCCGTTGTGAAGAGCATAGATGAAATAGAGGTAAATTCAAAAGTACATAATGACCCTACGGTTATATGTAACACTTTTAATGATTTTTATGTCAATGTAGTTGATTCTGATGTAATTCCAAAAATAAATACACCCAATTTATCAGTACCTAATTTAGGAATAAATAACCAAAAAAATAAATTTAGATGTGAACCAATCAGTGAGACAGATATCAGTAAAATAATTTCCATATTTGATAATAAACTATCATCAGGCTTCGACGATGTTCCCATAACAGTAATAAAGCATGCCCAGAGTTCACTTAAAAAACCATTTGCACACTTAGTAAATTCATCATTTATATCCGGCATATTTCTAGATAAATTAAAAATTTCTAAAGTAAAACCTCTTTATAAAAAAGGGGACCAATTAGATGTTTCAAACTATCGCCCAGTAGCCTTGTTACCTGTCATGTCTAAAATTTATGAAAAAGCTATGTATAATCAGCTCGTTAACTTTTTAGAAAGTAATGATCTACTCGATAAAGAGCAGCACGGTTTTAGATCAAACCATTCTGTAATATCAGCGGCTGCTACATATATTGAGTCAATAATTGATTCTGTAGATAGGGGAGATAAAGTAATTGGAATATTTATGGACCTAAGCAAAGCATTTGACAGTGTATCTCATCATAAATTGTTAAAAAAATTGGAAGGACTAGGGGTTGTAGGAATTTCACTAAAATGGTTTCAATCATATTTAACTAATAGGAAACAGTTCGTAGAAATTACACACTTAAACAATCATAACCAGATGGTTAAAACAAGATCGCAGTTGAGAACAATTAAACATGGTGTACCACAGGGTTCTATTTTGGGTCCTCTACTATTTCTTACATATATCAATGGATTACCCAATGTTATTTCAAATTCAACAATGAATACCATCTGTTTATATGCCGATGATTCTAATCTTCTTGTAAGCGGAAAATCTGTTCATGAGATAGAAAAATCTGCCATCGATAACTTGATGAACATCAATAACTTTTTTTCAGATCATCAGCTATTACTAAATCTTTCCAAAACTAATTTTACACGCTTTAATCTAAAAACTAATACCAATTCAGATTACCCAGCACTAAAATTAGCCGGTGAAGATATACAAATTGTTGAGAACACTAAATTTCTAGGATTATACATAGACAGTAAATTAAGCTGGAATGATCATATTGATCATGTGGCAAATCGAATGTCAACAGGCCCATTTGCACTTTATCGATTATCAAAATTTTGTAAACTCGAATCCCTAAAATTGGTTTATTTTGCTCATATTCACTCACATTTATCCTTTGGTATAAGTATTTATGGAGGAACATCACAAGCTAATTTAGACAGAATTTTAATTCTCCAGAAAAGAGCAATACGCATTATGTTAAATTTGGATTGGCAAGATTCTGTTAGGGAAAAATTTGAAGAACTAGGCATAATGACTGTATATAGCTATTATATCTATCAATGTATATTATATACTGTCAAAAATTCAAATAATGTCTCACTGGTTGGGGATTCTCATCAATATTGTACCAGAAACAGAAATAACTATGCAACACCTTCACATAGATTAAGATTTTTTGAAAAAAAAAACCAATGTATATGGGTATAAAATGTTACAATGCTCTTCCAACAAAACTAAAGGACTACACAAGGACTACAAAATTTAAAAATAATCTAAAAATGTACTTTTTAACCAATCCCCTGTATTCAAAGAACAAATTTTTCCTCTTACATAATATATTAGAATAAGAACTTTTTCAATAGTGATTTCTTTTGTACTTTTTTAGGATTAAGCATTATGATTTTGATCCAATGTAATGACGCCATTCGTGCACATGTTTGCAAAGTATGAATAAAGTTGATTTCATTTCATTTCATTAACAAAAGCTAAAATTAGTTGTAAAAAATGTGTGTTTCCTTCCTTTCTATTGCTTTTACAATCAAAATAAACTATACCGAGCCATGGCTCAGGACCCCGGTACTTAATTGTTATCTAGTTTTGGTAATGGTTTTTTTGGTAATGTTATCTATTTAGTTATGTTTGATAAAATCTTTATCAGTGTATTTTTGTTCATTCCTGTTCTGATGTAATTTTTCGTACCAGCATCTCAGCAATCTATTTTATTGTCAAGCTTGACGAATCTGAGTTATGTTTGTACTCTTAATAAAAGAAAAGCGTTTTTTTTCTGTTTGTTCATCTCTATATATAAATGTGAAATTCCGATCAACACACAGGCCAAACCATACCACTTAGAAGCAACGTGAGATTTTGCATACATATTCCTCTTGTAGGCAGACAATAAGAAGTGATTTTACAACATTCCCAATGGGCCCCACAGAAGGTCAAAGTTAGCACGGAGTTCGTATAGGAAGAATAATTTGTTTTGTGTTTTTGTTTACATTTGTCTGCAATTTATTTAATCATCAGCTGTTAGTATAAAAAATTAAGCTTACTAAGTATTTTCGGAGGCTATTTCGGACCATATAAACATCATAGTTGTGTGCCAGTGAAATTAACCTAATTAATTTTGGCATTTTAGTCTTATCAACTTCTAATATGTGTGATTAGTGTTGAAGAAAGTAGAATTGAACTTAGTTTTTATTGCATTTGAATTCTTAAGAACTTAAGATATTGTTTTGTTAATATTTTTTTAGTTGTTACCGTCTCATAGTATGGACACTGAGGTTTTAAATGTTAATGGCGGGTCCATTCAACACAATATCATTCACATTACAGGAGATGGTGCGTGTTTATTTACTTCACTCTCATTCATAATTCACCTTACACACATACATACACTAACTGTACGCATATCAATTGTTGAAGATGTTGTGAGAAACTGGGACTACTTCTCAGTCTTATCCCAAGTCAGTAATGGGAATAATTAGCTTAATTCAAGGGAATACAATGTCTAAGCCACCTTTGGTGGGTTGTGTGAGCTGGTTGACAAATAATATTCACATTTGTTTTCGAGGTTTATCGAATTGGTGAATTATATTTCAAGTTTGGCGATGAACGGTATCCCTCAAAAAGACTAAGATTTACACAATCCCTGTCTAGCGGGCACTTCGACGTTTATCTTCACAAAAATGTAATTGAGGCCATAGTGATCACCGCATGTGCCCGAGAGGAATCAGTTTTTATACCATGACTTCCCCTGGTTCCTACGGACTACCCGTTTAAAGGTTGCAATTCCCTTTGAAAGTGTGCTTCGCCCTCACCATCAATAAAGCGCAGGGATAGTCACTTAAGATCGCAGGACTAGACTTGAGAGAGGATTGTTTTTTCTCATATTCATGGGTCAGCTCAGCCACGAGTCTGGTGATGCTAGCACCTTCTGAGAAAACAAATAATGTTATATACTAAGATATTCTGTAAATAATCAAAAATAGCAAGAATAACAAACAAACTGTTAACTGCAGTTTTAATCATCATCGTAAAATGAAATATAAAAATTAAAATAATGTATTGTTTATTTAATGTGATTTATTTTATAATAATCTGGCACTTGTACACTAATTTATTAAACATTTCAACCAATTTGAATGTTTCCGTAGCAAAGCGCGGGTTTTCCGCTAGTCTTAAATATTCAAATATTCATCATGTAACTTGCCTATTATGTATTTATTGTAAAAATGTATTGTAATGTGTTTACCACGCGATTAAATAAATAAAATAATTACTAGATGACTTGAATCAACTATCAGGATTGGTTATGTTCCCACTATTTATTTGTTGTCTTCCTAAACATTTTTGTCCATTTGATGACAATTGCTTGACATGCTGCAAATAGGTGCATAGCAGTTTCCGGTACTGATTTACCCTTCATTTACTATACTAATCTTAACAAGGTGACAGGCCTATTTAAGTCTGCTATGTCCAGTTGAAAGAGCTCAGGGTCGCCCCGCCGCAGCAAGGGGGGCGCCACGGCTTTGAGGTAAAAAATTTAACAACGTTATCGGCAAACCGCAAATGAATATTTTACGGGAAACTCTTAAACATGTTATAAATGAAAATAACTATTCTAAAAGAAGGCAATCCATAGCTTTTGTTTTATTCATATTAAAATAAATACTGTTATTTAATATACAACTCGTACTATTACTACTTTTACCTCTGGCATATGACTTGTTGGCAATACTGCGAGCCTGAGACACACACTGCGTATTCGCCCACACGCCCCACATACACTTGCTTGTTTCTAACCTCAAAGCTCAAACTCTTACGTCAACTCATAGTCACTCTGTGATGTCTGTTGTGAGTCGTAAATTCAATGTTTTTAGTAATTTAGTTCAGGGTAGTTGTTACATTTATAAAAAATACTTGCAAAACATTCAATATCGATATATCGGATGTTGGGTCTGTTGACGCAAACCCCCCAAATACCTTTTTTGGGGAGGGGGCGAAAATTTAAATCTCGCCCCAGGCGTCTATTACTCTTGGGGTGGACCTGAAAGAGCTGTCACAATCCTAAGATTGTTCGGTGGGATTGTCTTCATCCAAGGGTTTCTCCCCCCCCTGAGTTTCCGTTAAAGGCTTGAAGGTACATTCATTTACTTATTATCGATGATTTGACCACTAAGATAAATAAATATTGTTCAGTATCAACATGAACAATAAAAAAAAAATATTTATTGAAATAAAACTGTTCTAAGCTAACCTAACCTAACCTAACCAACCAAAATTTCTGTAACATTTCTAAATTCCTATTGATATTCCCCACATGCCTTTTCTGTTTTAAAACGGAATTTTTAAATGGTGTAGCATGTTTGGTTAGTTATTTTAGGTTGGTTTGGAGCGGTTTCATGTCTTAATCCTATAAGTTATATTATATTTTGCCTAAAGAAGATCAGTTGTCAATTTTTAACTTAATATAAATGTGTTTGAAGATATTAAAACAGAATTAATATAGATTGTAAAGGAAAACCAAAATATCGATAATATATTGAAAAAATCATCAATAATAATGAATGTTTCCTTTAACCTGCAAGAATCTTCCATTCAAGAGCTTTGTTTCAGGCCAATGAGTAGGGAAGACACAACCTATCTGGTGATCATGTTCAATCCAATGTCCAGGAATACATAGAAGGGAACCTCTGATTGTTTTATTAACTTCATCTGTCTTGACGAAATGTTCAGTGTGTCAGTTAAAAAGACATTGTGCCTACACGGTTCAGTGAATTGAGTTTACATTACTATAAAATTTTTCATGATTTGCTGGGGTTTTATCTTTTATTATTATGGTTGCAGATCAGTGAGATTGATGATCACAAGGAACGAATCAAGCTGCTTAGGTGTCTGATAAAGAAGTCACAGGAGGAAATAGCCCATAGTAAGATAAATCATTGAGTTTGTTAGTACATACAGTATGATTCAACTACTTTAAACTCTTTTTTACTGTATAATAGAAGATAAATATGCAGACAGTACAAAAGTAGCCTAAGAATAAAACCAGTAACTGATCCTAACAATCTTTGAGATCAGTTAAGAAATTTGATCATATTAGCGTAAAGTTGAATAATTGCTGATGTCAAAAACAGTTCAATTAAGATGTTTAGAGTTTGATTTGTAGTTTGTGTTTCATTAGCAAAATTTGCTAACATTTAATGTTCCGGCTAAACATAATTGTGTTAGGGGAGAGCGGGGCTAAACCGTACAGCGAGGCTAAACCGTATACCCATTTTTTGGCCTTGAATTCAAGCTAAGTGATCCCGACAAGTGCTGCTATCTAGTAGCAGAATGCGCAAGTTTACAGTATCTGCATCGTTTTGCTATGTGTGCTAGTTTCAATTTTTCAGTAAAAAAACATGTTTTTACTCACTTGCTTCTAATTTTCGTCCAGTACTAAATAAAAAGTGAGTGAAGTAGTTTTTATCGTAGTCTATTAACTGTGAGATCATAATAAACTACATCCCTTTTAAAGCTCTCTTTTGGTTATTAGCGATGATTGGTTAAGTGATAGAATTTGAGTTTATGTCTATAAATTCCCACGAGGTACAGATTGGGGCTAAACCGTACAGCTCTGGTACAGGGTGCTGCTCATGTTCAGAGTGGGTCCATTCAGCTTGCAGTGCTGCGGAGTCTGCAGAGAACTACATTTGTGGACTTTTTCCTCTTTCTTTTAATTTTGGGATGAAATTTTATAACTTTTTCATAAACTTCATGTTTTTTATGAAGGTTGATTTTTGAAATGTAATAGGCTATCTTCTAAAGTGTTTAAATTGTAATACACTGTTTCTTAACTACAACCTTTATATAGTAATAAAAAGTGTTTGTACAATAATTTGTTGCAGTACTATTATATTACTAACCTAAACAAATAATTTTTGAACTGTACGGTATAGCCCCTTCTACTGTACGGAATAGCCCCACCCCCGGGGCTATTTCGTACAAGGTAACTTTTTTTTAATTACAAATTTTTACATGTAAAAAATGCAATAGTTCCAAAATGTTTGTATACAATCAGTAGCTAAATAATTAAATAATATATTGCTTGTGTTTACATTACTTTTACTTCGTAATTTGCGATGTAACAACGAATCTCCCTTATGTGTACAGTATAGCCCCGCTCTCCCCGACAGCCAGGTTACAATTAAATGTGATACAATCAATCGAGACCCTTGAGATGACGTGATTTCATTGTCATTTCATATTAGGCCTACAAATTATTTAGAAGATTTTGTAGGTCATTTTGAAGATCATTTTGGCCACAGTCCAACTGATTTGATTTCTACGTCTCTATCTTTAGTGTTGAATTAAAGCAAAGCAATTGGATTCAACTTTTTAATCATCTTAACTAAAATAGGTTTTTAAAAAGTAGATTTTGGTTTTTTTTCCAGAAAAGACAGTGATTGCCCAACTGAAGTGTGATAATGAGAAGAGTGTCAGTCAAACGTTACCATTATACAGGGAAAAGGTAAAACAGAAAAGTTGACAATTTTACCATCCCACCAATGTAGTTGATGAATGCGTTTTTGAATGTGAATTGAAGTAAACGTTTATTGTTTCATAATTTTACGTACATTTTACAAAACAATAGCCAAACATTGAAACAATAAAGAGGTAAGAAAACCTGTTCGGGAAAACATGATCTCTTGAATCTAAAAACACTTAGGTAGACCATTAACAACATCTACATACAATGTATAATAATTAGTGTCATAAATTGACTTAATAATCTATATCTATAAAAGAGGAACTGTGTATGTATGTATGTATATATGTATGTACCTTATGGACTCCAAAACCGCTCTACAGATTGTAATGAAACTTTCAGGCATTGGTTTGTGTGAAGTTTGGTGCAGATCCGTCAAAAGGGCTCTATTAAATTGTCAATTATCAAAGTCAAATAAAAGAATAGTCAATATCAGTACAACATTTTCATATCACTATTTATTTACTCATTCTTTAACATTATTAAAAACATGTGACATTTAATCTTCACAAATAAGTTATAGCACAAATATCTATAAAGATTAATCAATGGTCATACATATATATGAAATTAGTCATTAACATCTTTCCCCTCCTCAGGTAGAATGGTAATTTCTGTCATCGGACGCCGAAAAGTACTTTTTGGTGTTGTGATGTCAACAACTCTTACTTGTCCATCTCGACCGGGGTATAGAGCAGATATTCTTCCAAAGGGGCCATGTGTTACTTGCGTTGTCTTCGTCTACGATTATTGCCAAGTTGTTAACTTTAGGTGGAATAGTTCTTTTGTCCTCATCCATCCAGGCTTTCCACTTCAGACTAAGTTCAGGTGTCACAACATTATCCCAACCTAGTTTCGTTCTCCATATATCTTGAACCAGTAGTCTCCCTTTTACTGTGGTAGGGGCAATCAGACCTAGTCGAGTATCGGGCATCAAATGTTTGGCTTGGCTGGCTTTCAGGTTTTCAGGAATTTTCAAAAGTACTTGTTTTGAATTAGACATCCAGCTAGGCCTCGAGAACTAGGCCTGGACTGTGTACAGAGCTTATGAGTCTGGACTGCACTAGGCTTACTTGAAAAAATAGAGTTCCAGTTCAAAACTATTTTTTGCAACCAATTTCTACCTAAAAGCAACGGTGCGTTGGCTTTATCTACATCCACTACTGTCATAGGCAACATGTAGCTTGTCTGTTCATAAACCACGTTAACATCTACTTGGCCTACTACTTTAACTTCATCACCCGAATAGGCACGTAATTTTACATTACTACGAGTCAATTGTAATTGAGAAAAATGTTTTTCATACACTTCAAATGGACATACTGTGATATCAGATCCTGTATCAATCTCCATGTCTAAGTCTACATTTTCTATGGCTACTCTTACCTTGTAACAAGAGTTAGGGTCAGTTAGGCCTAGCCCAATATTGTACAAATTTAGCTCTTCACATTCCTCACTAGGGCTTTCAGACATCTGATGCACTTTATATTTACCTCCAGTAGTTTTACTACCTCTATCCTTGGCCTTGCATGCCTTTCCTAGGTGACCCACTTTTGAACATATATGACATTTATATTTATCATATGGGCAATTGTTAGCCTTATGGTCGGTCTTCAAGCACCTATAACACTTAAAAACATTCGTAGCACCTTCACTTTCTTTCATTTTACTACCCCTAGCCCACGTGGTTTTCCTAACATGAAACTTGTTCACATCCTGAAAATTTTCCTGTTTGCTGAGAAACATGTTTGTGTGCTTGTCTGCCTGTTCTAACGTGAGCGCCAACGCTAAGGTTTTATCAAAATCTTTTTCCTCCGACAATAACTTTTGCCGAATTTGTTCATTGGAAATTCTCAAGATTAGCCTATCTCTTAAAGCGTCCTTTAGGAATGTTCCAAATTGACAAGTAGCCAAGAGATGTTTTATCGCAACCACAAAATCTGAGATGCTTTCACCAGACCTCTGCGAGCGGGAATTGAACACATAACGCTCTACCACTATTAAACGTTTGGGTGAAAAATTTTGTTCCAGTACTTTAACGAGTTTATCAAAATCTAATTTGTCCACTTTTTCAGGGGAAACTACATCCCGTAACACTGCGAGCACTTTAGGACCTAACACGGTGATTAGAACAGAAACCTTGCTCGTGGCCTTGACATCATTCGCAATAAAATAATGTTTCAAACGCAACAAATATGACGAAATATCTTCTTCACTGGGATTAAATTCTCCCATTCGTCCCACACTCGACATTTTCACCGACTGCGCTAGTATAATATTCTATCACTACAGAGTTAAAAGAACCGCACATAAGAAATATGACACGACTAACCTGTAGATAACGTAGAACTGAGGCCGGTTCAGAGACACCAGCCGTGACGTCATTGCGTTGGCAGTGCAGCCACACACACAAACTAAATAGCACTACTTACTGCTAGTGCATATAACTTTAAAATATATCACAACATTGATTGGAGCATAACAGTATTTAGCTGAATTGTTCACTGAAGGCTGTTATTAAAAATGTCAACCAATCTGAAAGTTTCCGTAGCGAAGCACGGGTATTCCGCTAGTTATTTATAAATCTAAATAGACTTAATCAAGATAACAAGAACAAGAATTAATATACTGCTGTATTAAATAAAACGATAATGAACATTTTTTCCTAACATAGGCTTAAAGTTAATGTTTGGAAAGTAGGCAAGAAAGATGTCTAAACAAATTTTACATTGATCAAGCTACACACTTTCACTAACAAAACTGCAAATACCTTTAAGGTGAAGTTTCATATAAGAGGAGGAAATAAATACAGTATCTGAAATAGGAAAAGAAACGTGTTTAATCTGCAGTATGTTTAACTTAAATGTGCTTGAATATTTAACAAAGCAACTTGGGCTTTGCTTTATAATGAAATAGGTTTTGCAATAAGGTCTATAATTGACAATTTATATCAGGATTCTTGTAGGCTTATTGACATATGGTCATAATGTGCCTAGGTTCAGCGTCTGCAAGGATTTGTAGTACATCACAACAACGATGTAGCCAGCAGACGACAGAGACTGGCCGATGTACAGCAAGAGCTCAAGAAAGTGATCAGGATCAGAATACATGAGCTGGTCAAGTACATCTTCCCCATATCAGCTGTTCAGCCGTCCAGGAGGTCAGTATAATCAGCTGCAATAGCATATACCTATTTATACTGGTACAAAATGCATCTTTGAAACACGAACGCTTTGAGAAAAACTATGTATATCAACTTGATGTGTTGCACAAAAATTTTATAGCATAATATCTTGCGAATATCAGTTGTTAAAGAATATTTGTTCTGTAATAATTATAAAATCCTAAAAAAACTTTTTAATTTTCACCCATAAGAATAACATTAAGAGCTACTTTCTTCTTCTTTTTTTGTTTACATTTTACGAGCAACAATTTGGTCGTTTATTTGAGACAAAGAGAACGACTCAAAAACTCCTATTTATTCTATCCTTGGAGTATACAGTTTTTTGCATAAGAAATCTTGCATCCTACGATTTCTAGAAAATAATAATTTATCTATGAAAAGAAATAGGGAATTTAAAAGATATCCAGATAAATTTATTGAAAGCAATATAAATATATAGTTAATTATTTTTAAGTTTAACAAGTATGGTTGTTTAGTAGGTTATGTAAGACCATAGACCATTGAGCGACAACAAACGTTGGGTTGCTTGTTGCTAATACTGTTGTCTTATCCTCGCTCTAAATTTTAATTGGGTTGGAGCTATTAATTATGTTTAATTTTCAATATCAATGTTATAGCATACTATTATTGCCCATGTTAATGAGATTTTTTTATTAAAAGAGGCATTTTTCAAACATTTTTCTTTTGGTTGTCGGTTAGTCTGCTGCTGTAGGTAGTGGCTTAGATCTCAGTAACAGTGAGTATATACTACACTAGTATAGACTGCTGCTACACAGATATAAATCCTGCTAATATAAAAACCAAAATCACACAAAACTTCATATCTGACCATTTCGGAGTTTTCTGCAAAATAAGCCTTTTCAATCCTAAACTATCAAATATAAAAAAATACTTAAGACAAATAACCACTAAATCCCTCTTTGACGTAAAACATGCACTATCAATGGTAGACTGGTCAATAATATATCAAAATATATCAAAAATACACAGAAGAAAAATATAACACATTTCTAAGAATGTTCATGGAAATAATGCAGACACACATGCCAAAGACCTACAAAACCCCCAAAAAATGTTAATAAAGGCATAAATTAATTAATTTATGATGACAATATAAATGATCTACGACAGGAGATGAAAAATGCACACTTCAATTACTTAACAACAAATAGGCCTGAGGATAAATCTATTTATACAAAGACAAAAAAGAAGTATGACTCCGAAATAAAATTAATGGGGACAGCTGACTGATAACAAGAACAAAGGAATGACGTCACAGCGCCGACCGACCACGTTGACCGGCAGTCTAGACGCTACATCTATCCGGTCGCAACGCATCATCCTCACCGGTGTTACCATTTTTAGCTTTTACTCGTTAAATTGTATTTTTTCGTTTCAATGTTCGTGTCTGTGTTCATGTTCGTAACCGTGACCATGTTCGTATATGAACGTACTAGCAGAGTACCCGTCCTTCGTACGGGGTTGGCATATAAGTATCAAATGCTTATAGCAGTTATGAGTGAGGACATGGTTTAAGAAATTTCGGTTCTTTTTGAAGTTCGTTCGCTACGCTCACTCACCTTTAGGTTGGAGCTCGTTCGCTGCGCTCACTTTCCTTCAGGTTAGCTCGTTCGCTACGCTCACTTGCCTTCAGGTTAGCTCGTTCGCTACGCTCACTCGCCTCCAGGTTGAAGTTCGTTCGCTACGCTCACTCACCTTTTGCTGTTGTCATAAATGTAAAAGAAATAATAGTGCTAGTGCTGCACCCTGTTGGTAATCCTTGTAACTTTTAATGCTATTGAACATCATAGAACAGAACCAACTTGTTTAATTGAAACAGCTGTTAAGATTCATTAATTCCATTTCTCATAAGGTTAACATGGGAAACTCCAGAGCCACTGGGGCGGAGCCCCGAAGGATTTTTTGGGATAAAAATATGCCTATATGTTAATCGGGAATGTGAGCTATCATCATGCCAAATTTCAGCCCGATCCGACCAGTAGTTTTTGAGATTAGCTCATACAAACACACACACAGACACCACCTCTTCTTTATAATAGTATAGATAGATAATGTGTGTATTGACGACCTTCTGATGAAGTGATTTGACATTCCCTGGACGCCCGAAGATGGCCTCGTGAGAAGTTGAAACTAGTTGCGTCATAGCAGCAACATTTTGGATTACAAGAAGCAGGTATTTACACCAATTTTTATTATCAACGTATCCGGAGGCTAACATCAACAATGAAATAAAATTAATTAAAAAGTCCAAAATATCATCTAAAATTGAGGAATCAAAAAACAAAAATAAAGAAATATAGAGAATCATAAACAAAGAAAGAAATAAAACCCATACAACAGAGAAAATATTATGCTTAAGGTGGGAAATAAAATCATCTCGTCCACAGAAGAAATAAGCGAACATTTAAACAAATACTTTATCACAATTGGAGGCTCTGCTGAAAACTCCCACAACAACAGGGAAATATCGCAAGAACAAGAAGAAATGCAAAACTCTCAAACCTCTCAAGAACCCTCACCAGGAATTCTATCAAAATTCAAAACAATAAACAAAACTGAATTAAACAATATATTATTTAAAACTTTTGACCCTAAAAATGTCTATGGCTTTGATGAAGTCCCGAACTCTGTTATAAAACACTGTAAGGAAGAACTAATTAACCCCCTCCTAGATATCATAAACAGTTCAACTCTAAATTCACATGTAAAAAATGAAATTACCAAAAATATATCCAAAAGCATAAAATACCCCCCCCCCCCGCAGCAAACCTGCAGACTTAGCGAATTTCCCTTTGCCTGATTGGATTTACACTAAAATGTCTCCTTAAAAATATCACATTTATTCCCATTTGAATAGAATTAGTTTAACGAGTACTTAGGTTTGCTGAAACAGGGAGGGTAAAAGTTTTTTGATGTAAAATGTTAATACTGTAGTTTATTAATAAATGAATGTATTTTGCAAATTTGATCAAAATATGTTCATAAACAAGCAAACTACAACAGTTGACTTATTCTCCATAAGAATAACATGGGAATTTTAAATTTACAATTTTTTTGAATTTTCTCCGTAACCATTAGGTGCATAATAACGCTTCAATATACTAAATTATTGGTTTTTTAAGCTCTACAAAATGGTTTGGAAAGAAATTGTGAAATTTTGTGTTTTTAGTGTCAAAAATGGGAAAACCCTATTTTTACCCCGTAAAACCCCCCATAAACCCCTGTTTCCAAAGTCCAATCAGGCTGGTTCGCGTACTCGTTAGAATAAATGTAGGTTTACACACTTGTACCAAATTTCATCAAAATCGGATCATTTTTGCTCGAGTTATCGTGCTAACGGACACACATATATATATACTAGCAGAGTACCCATCCTTCGTACGGGGTTGCTGGCATATAAGTGTAAAATAATTATTGCAGTTGTACTCTAACTTAGCATTTGCAATGGGGGAGAACACAGTTTGATAAAATTTGCTTCTTTAAATTTACGGTATACTATAGTATTACACATTTAACGTACCCATAATGTTCTACCACTTCACCTAAACAATAGAAAAAAATAAATTATTAAAACTTCGCAAAATATCACAAATTATTCATGCAATTAAACACATAAAGATAGCTGTAAACAATCCTACTTTGACAGTTCTCATTGCCTATCACAGTTTTTTGTTGGTGCTTAGTTCAAATTAGCTGTTTTCATAAATGCAAAAAAAATTATAGTGCTGCATCCTGTTTGTAAATCTTATAACTTTTTAATAGGGATGGACGGGTTTGAATTTTTAGTTCGGGACGGGACGGGATTTTCATTTCCTTCCCGATTTTCAGGACGGGACGGGACGGGATTTTTTCATGTGCATAAAAAGAAATTGTTGAGTATTGCAGTTACCAAAAAAGACAAACGAAATCAATTTTTACCGTTTGTGGCACTGAACTATAAAAACCGAAAAATGGGTAACAATTTACAGGTACCTATAGAAACTTGTGACTTGTCACGGTGCGATCGTCGGTATGAATCGCGGTCACGGTGCGATCGTCGGTATGCATCGCGGTGACGGCATGATTGTCATTATGACTCCACGGTCACGGCATGATCGTCATTATGACTCCACGGTCACGGCATGATCGTCAGTATGACTCCACGGTCACGGCGTGATCATCGATATGAATCCGCGGTCACGGAGTGATCGTCGGTATGACTCACGGTCACGCCGTGATCGTCGGTATGAATCCGTGGTCACGGGGTGATCGTCGGTATGACTCCGCAGTCACGACGTGATCGTCGGTATGACTCCGCAGTAACAACGTGATCGTCGGTATGACTCCGCAGTCACGACGTGATCGTTGGTATGACTCCGCAGTCACGACGTGATCGTCGGTATGACTCGCGGTCACGGGATGATCGTCATGACTCCGCGGTCACGGGGTGATCGTCGGTATGACTCCACGGTCACGGGGTGATCGTCGGTATCACTTGCGGTCACGGCTTGATCGTCATGATGACTCCGCGGTCACGGTGCGATCGTCGGTATGACTCCGCGGTCACGGGGTGATCGTTGGTATGACTCGCGGTCACGGTGTGATTGTCATTATGACTCCGTGGTCACGGCGCGATCGTCAGTGTTTTTGATAAACTGATTTATTTAAGTTTTGTTTTTGTACATTTTAGAAAAATACTCACTTCAATTCAATTCTTTATTCTACAATATTATTCTTGTATCATTGTTTTTATTTATTTTTATAACATATGTTTCTATTTTGTTTGTACAGTATACAGGGTGATTTTTAAATGAGTTCCCCCCCCCTACTTTTTTCTACATTTCTTAAGATATCAACTCCGGACCACGTCAGATCATTGTACAGTAGTAAGTACTTCATTTTGACTGGGTATAAATTTTTGGCCGCCATCTTGGATCCGCCATATTGGATACAAAGTTTTTTTTCAAATGTAAAGG